ATTTAGTTTCTGTTTCCATGATTTATCCATTGCTGAGAGTGGGGTGTTGAAGTCTCCCACTATTATTATGTGAGGTGCAATGTGTGTTTTGAGCTTTAGTAAGGTTTCTTTTATGTAAGTCGACGCTCTTGTATTTGGCGCATAGATATTCAGAATTGAGAGTTCATGTTGGTTGACTTTTCCTTTGACAAGTATGAAATGCCCTTCCTTATCCTTTTTGATAGTTTTAAGTTGAAAGTCGATTTTATTCGATATTAGGATGGCTACTCCCGCTTGTTTCTTAGGACCATTTGCTTGAAAAATTGTTTTCCAACCTTTTACTCTAAGGTAGTGTCTGTCTTTGTCACTGAGGTGGGTTTCCTGTAAGCAGCAAAAAGCTGGGTCCTGTTTGCGTATCCAGTCCATTAGCCTATGCCTTTTTATTGGGGAATTGAGTCCATTGATGTTAAGAGATATTAAGGAGAGGGTGTTGTTGCTTCCTGTCATTTTTGCTAATAATGGAGACATCGTTTGTGTGGTTATCTTCTTTTGGGTTTGATGGAAAAGGATTATTTTCTTGCTCTTTCTAGGGTATGATTGCCCTCCTTGTATTGGATCTTTCCTGCTATTATCCTTTGTAGAGCTGGATTTGTGGGAAGATACTGTGCAAATTCAGTTTTGTCATGGAATATCTTAGTTTCTCCATCTATGGTAATTGAGAGTTTTGCTGGGTAAAGTAGCTTGGGCTGGCATTTATGTTCTCTTAGGGTTTGTATGATATTTGTCCAGGATCTTCTGGCTTTTATAGTATCTGGTGAGAAGTCAGGTGTAATTCTGATAGGTTTGCCTTTATATGTTATTTGGCCTTTTTCCCTAACTGCTTTTAAAATTCTTTCTTTGTTTGTACATTTTGTGTCTTGATTATTATGTGACGGGAGGTGTTTCTTTTTTGATCTAGTCTGTTTGGCGTTCTGTAGGCTTCTTGTGTGATTATGGGCATCTCATTCCTTAGGTTAGGGAAGTTTTCCTCAATAATTTTGTTGAAGATATTTACTGGCCCTTTAAGTTGGGAATCTTCACTCTCATCTATACCTATTATCCTTAGGTTTGGTCTTCTCATTGTGTCCTGGATTTCCTGGATATTTTGAGATAACAACTTTTTGCATTTTGCATTTTCTTTGATAGTTGTGTCGATATTTTCTAAGGTATCTTCTGCACCTGAGATTCTTTCTTCTATTTCTTGTATTCTGTTGGTGATGCTTGTGTCTATGACTCCTGATTTCTTTCTTAAGTTTTCTATCTCCAGGATAGTCTCCCTTTGTGCTTTCTTTATTGTTTCCACTTCCATTTTTATGTCCTGGATGGTTTTGTTCAATTCCTTCATCTGTTTGTTTGTGTTTTCTTGTAATTCTTTAAAGGATTTTTGTGTTTCTTTAAGGACTTCATCCTGTTTTCCTGTGTTCTCCTCAAGTTTTTGGATAGTGTTATTTACTTCTTTCTTGAAGTCCTCTAGCATCATCATTAGAAGTGATTTTAGATCTGGTTCTTGTTTTCCTGGTGATATGGGGAGTTCAGGACTTTCTAATGTGGGAGAACTAGGTTCTGATACTGGCAAGTACCTTGGGTTGCTGGTGCTTGTGTTCTTGCGCTTGCCTTTCGCCATCTGGATCGCCTTTGTGCTATCAGTGCTGTCTCTGACAGGGGCCTGTCTTTCCTATTATCTAGGTTGTGTCAGAACTGTTTGGGATGAGTTTTGCTGCTTGAGTTAGAGCTGAGGCCCAAGATGTGCTCAGTGTTCAGGTGGAAACCGGAAGGGGCCTGGGCTCCGGGTCAGGAGAGGATTCCTGGGTCTCAGTGAGTCCCAGTGGGTCCCAGTGGGTCCCAGTTGCTCCCTGATTGGAGGCAAGAACTGCCACCTCCTAGCCTAAGAAATTGCTTGGCACAGAGGTCCTGTGAGCCCCGCTTCCTCTTGATTCTGCGAGATTGGGTGCAGAGCTGCCTCCCGGGATCTGTGAGTGCTCGGGCCCAGACCGGATGGAGCCCGCCCCGGGCCAGGAGCGAATTCCTGGGTCCCAG